AGAGTAGTTGGTTGGGGGGGTGGTGGTGGTGGGAGGGGGAGAGAGTAGTGGTTGGAGGGGTAGTTGTGGGGGGGGGGAGGGGGAGAGGGATAGTGGTTGGAGGGGGTAGTGGTGGTGGGAGGGGGAGAGAGTAGTGGTTGGAGGGGGTAGTGGTGGTGGGAGGGGGAGAGAGTAGTGGTTGAGGGGTGTGGTGGGGGAGGGGGAGATGTGGTTGGAGGGGGTAGTGGTGGTGGGAGGGGGGAGAGAGTAGTGGTTGGAGGGGGGTAGTGGTTGGTGGGAGGGGAGAGAGAGTAGTGGTTGGAGGGGGTTGTGGTGGTGGGAGGGGGAGAGAGTAGTGGTTGGAGGGGGGTAGTGGTGGTGGGAGGGGGAGAGATAGTTGGAGGGGTGGTGGTGGTGGGAGGGGGAGAGTAGTGTTGGAGGGGGTAGTGGTGGTGGGAGGGGGAGAGAGTGAGTGGTTTGGAGGGGTAGTGGTGGTGGGAGGGGAGGAGGAGAGTAGTGGGTTGGAGGGGGTAGTGGTGGTGGGAGGGTGGGAGAGAGTAGTGGTTGGAGGGGTAGTGGTGGTGGGAGGGTGAAAAGTAGTGTGGTGGGGGAGAGAGTATGGGTTGGAGGGGGTAGTGGTGGTGGGAGGGGAGAGAGTAGTGGTTGGAGGGGGTAGTGGTGGTGGGAGGGGGGGGGAGAGTAGTGGTTGGAGGGGGTGTGTGGTGGGGAGGGGGAGAGAGATGTTGGTTGGGGGGGTAGTGGTGGGGGGAGGGGGATGAGAGTAGTATTTCGGGGGGTAGTGGTGGTGGGAGGGGGAGGAGTAGTGTTTGGTAGGGTGGTTTACTTTGGTAAAGGAGAGAGAGTATTAGTACGGTAGCGGGTAGTGGGATGGAACTGGGTAGTGGTGTCAGGGGAGGATTATTTGGGGGGTTTGTTTTTAGGATTAGTTTGGGGGTAGTGGTTGAGTGGAGGGGGAGTGAGTTGTTTTTGGGGTATGTGGTGGTGAGGGAGAGATAAGTGTTTGTTGGGTATGGTTTGGTACACAGAGAGTCAGTGTTTTGGCTACGAGTGGTTGTGGAGAGGGAATGAGGTAGTTTTGCGGGTATGGTGGTGGGAGGGGGAGAGAGTATTTTTTGGCGGTAGTGGTGGTGGGAGGGGAGAGAGTAGTTGTTGGGGGTAGTGGTGGTGGGAGGGAGAGAATGGTTGGAGGGGGTAGGGGGTGGTGGAGGGGAGAGATAGTGGTTGGAGGGGTAGTGGTGGGGTGAGGGGAGAGAGTATGGTTTTGAGGGGGTAGTGGGTGGGAGGGGGAGATTTAGAAGGTAGTGGTTGGAGGGGGGAGGTGGAGGGGTAGTGGTGGTGGGAGGGGGAGAGAGTTGTGGTTGGGGGGTTGTGGTGGTGGAGGGGATAGAGAGTAGTGGTTTGAGGCGGGTAGTGGTGGGAGGGAGAGAGTAGTGGTTGGAGGGGGTAGTGGTGGTGGGAGGGGAGATAGTAGTGTTTGGAGGGGGTGTGGTGGTGGGAGGGGGGAGAGTAAGTGTTGGAGGGGGTTTAGTGGTGGTGGGATGGAGAGAGAGTAGTTTGGGGGGTAGTGGTGGTGGGAGGGGGAGAGGGGTAGTGGTTGGAGGGGTAGTGGTGGTGGGAGGGGGAGAGAGTAGTGGTTGGAGGGGGTTAGTGGTGGGAGGGGGGAGAGTAGTGGTTGGAAGGGGGGTAGTGGTGGTGGGAGGGGGAGAGAGTAGTGGTTGGAGGGGGTAGTGGTGGTGGGAGGGTGAGAGAGTAGTGGTTGGAGGGGGGGTTTGTGGTGGTGGAGGGGGAATGAGAGATGGTGGGAGGGGGGGGTAGTGGTGGTGGGAGGGGGAGAGAGTAGTGGTTGGAGGGGGTTTGTGGTGGTGGGGGGGGGGAGAGAGTAGTGGTTGGAGGGGGGGTTAGTGGTGGTGGGGAGGGGGAGAGAGTAGTGGTTGGGGGGGTAGTGGTGGTGGGGGGGGGAGAGAGTAGTGGTTGGAGGGGGTAGTGGTGGTGGGAGGGGGGAGAGAGTAGTGGTTGGAGGGGGTTAGTTGGTGGTGGGAGGGGGAGAGAGTAGTGGTTGGAGGGGGTAGTGGTGGTGGGAGGGGGAGAGAGTAGTGGTTGGAGGGGTAGTGGTGGTGGGAGGGGGAGAGGAGTGGTGCAGGGGTGTGTGGGGAGGGGGAGAGAGTAGTGGTTGGAGGGGGTAGTGGTGGTGGGAGGGGGAGAGTAGTGGTTGGAGGGGGGTAGTGGTGGTGGGAGGGGGGGGGGAGAGAGTAGTGGTTGTTGGAGGGGGTAGTGGTGGTGGGAGGGGGAGAGAGTAGTGGTTGGAGGGGGTAGTGGTGGTGGGAGGGGGAGAGAGTAGTGGTTGGAGGGGGTTGTGGTGGTGGGAGGGGGAGAGAGTAGTGGTTGGAGGGGGTAGTGGTGGTGGGAGGGGAGGAGTAGTTGGTTGGAGGGGGGTAGTGGTGGTGGGAGGGGGGGGAGAGAGTAGTGGTTGGAGGGGGTTAGTGGTGGTGGGAGGGGGGAGAGAGGTAGTGGTTGGAGGGGGTAGTGGTGGTGGGAGGGGGAGAGAGTAGTGGTTGGAGGGGGTAGTGGTGGTGGGAGGGGAGAGAGTAGTGGTTGGAGGGGTAGTGGTGGTGGGAGGGGGAGAGAGTAGTGGTTGGAGGGGGTAGTGGTGGTGGGAGGGGGGAGAGGTAGTGGTTGGAGGGGGTAGTGGTGGTGGGAGAGGGAGAGAGTAGTGGTTGGAGGGGGTTAGTGGTGGTTGGGAGGGGGAGAGAGATAGTGGTTGGAGGGGGTAGTGGTGGTGGGAGGGGGAGAGGAGAGTATTGGTTGGAGGGGGTAGTGGTGGTGGGAGGGGAGAGAGTAGTGGTTGGAGGGTGGTAGTGGTGGTGGGAGGGGGAGAGAGTAGTGGTTGGAGGGGGTAGTGGTGGTGGGGAGGGGGGAGAGTTGTGGTTGGAGGGGGAGTAGTGGTTGGGGATATGGTTGGGGGGGTTGTGGTGGTGGGAGGGGGAGAGAGTAGTGGTTGGAGGGGGTTTGTGGTGGTGGGAGGGGAGAGAGTAGTGGTTGAGGGGGTAGTGTGGTTGGTGGAGGGGAGAGAGAGTAGTGGTTGAGGGGGGTAGTGGTGGTGGGAGGGGGAGAGAGAGTAGTGTTTGGGGGGGTAGTGGTGGTGGGAGGGGGATGAGGAAGAGTAGTTTTTGGGGGGGTAGTGGTGGTGGGAGGGGAGAGGACGCAGTGGTTGGAGGGGGTTAGTGGTGGGGGAGGGGGAGAGAATAGTGGTTGGAGGGGGTAGTGGTGGGGAGGGGGAGAGAGTAGTGGTTTTGGGGGGGGGTAGTGGTGGTGGGAGGGGGAGAGAGTAGTGGTTGGAGGTGGTAGTTGGTGGTGGAGGGGGAGAGAGTGTGGTTGGGGGGGTTGTGGTGGTGGAGGGGGAGAGAGTAGTGTTGGGGGGTTGTGGTGGTGGGAGGGGGAGAGAGTAGTGTTGGGGGGGGGGGTGGAGGGGGGGTGAGAGTATGTTTGGGGGGGTAGTGGTGGTGGGAGGGGGAGAGAGGTAGTGGTTGGAGGGGTAGTTGTGGTGGGAGGGGGAGAGAGTTGTGTTGGGGGGTAGTGGTGGTGGGAGGGGGAGAGAAGAGTGTTTCGGGGGTGTGGTGGTGGGAGGGGGAGAGAGTAGTGTTTGGGGGAGGTAAGAAGGTTTAGAGGAAAGATAGTTAGTTTTAGTGCGTGTGGGGAGTGGTGAGGGGAGTGAGTATGTCCTTGGGGGTTTTCTTATGTGTTAAGGTTAACAAGATTATTTCTGGTATCTTGGGTTCATGCTAAGACATCTGAGGAAGGTCATGATTTACATGGTGGCGTTCGGATAGGTAAAATTGCCGCGTGCTAGCTTGAATAGAAAATCATTGCTTCTTTGTGGGTATTTCATTTGATTTTGTGAGCTCTTCTTGAACAGTTCATGCATGGAGGGAGGACTGTGGTGGGCGGGTCTGTTCGGGCAGACAGTGTCATAGTGGTGTATGAAACGTCACTGTGTGGGACGCTAGTTGTGTTCTTAGTACTTGAGTATGTTTGGTTCCCCTGAGTAATTGAGCGAAGATAGTTGGTACATTGTTGCTAGCAAATTATTAAAAGGGTAGCTCGTGTTTTATGTTCAACATGTTATATTACGCTGTAGGTTGCAATGGACCATAAATTTTTTGGTCCAGCTGGATTGAACTTACGATTATTGTTTGGGTGATATTGATGCGTACTTACAGTATTTTTGTAAGGGGGTAGTGTGGTGGGAGGGGAGAGTATGTTTTGTTTGGGTGTGGTAAAGAATGGTTGGATGGGATAGGAGTTGAGAGATAGTGTTGGGGGGTATTGGTGGTGGGAGGGGGAGAGATACTGACATTTTGGGTAGTGGTGGTGGGAGGGAGAGTAGTATGTTGGGGGGTAGTGGTGGTGGAGGGGAGAGGGGTTTTTTGGTTGGGGGGGTGGTGGTGGGTGGGGGGGAAATGTGTTTGGGGGGGGGGGTGGGGGGGGGAAAATGTGTTTTTGGGGGGGGGTGGTGGGGGGGGGGGGAGGGAAATGTTTGGGGGGGGTTTTTGGGGGGGGGGGGAGAGTTTTGGGGGGGGGTGTGGGTGGGAGGGGGGAGTATGTTTTGGGGGGGGAGTGGTGGGGGGAGGGGGAGAGGGTAGTGTTTGGGGGGGTAGTGGTGGTGGGAGGGGGGGGGAGTAGTGTTTGGGGGGGTTGTGGTGGTGGGAGGGGGAGAGAGTAGTGTTTGGGGGGGTAGTGGTGGTGGGAGGGGGAGAGAGTAGTGGTTGGAGGGGTAGTGGTGGTGGGAGGGGGAGAGAGTAGTGTTTGGGGGGGGTAGTGGTGGTGGGAGGGGGAGAGAGTAGTGTTTGGGGGGTTGTGGTGGTGGGAGGGGGAGAGAGTAGTGTTTGGGGGGGGGTAGTGGTGGTGGAGGGGGAGAGAGTAGTGGTTGGAGGGGGTAGTGGTGGTGGGAGGGGGAGAGAGTAGTGTTTGGGGGGGGTAGTGGTGGTGGGTGTCAACAAAGATCATCTGGTTCTGGTGTGGTGTCACTGCTAACACACGAGGAGCCGCTGCTGCTGCCGCTGCTGGTGCCGCCGCCGCTGCTTCTGCTGCTGGTGCTGCCGCCGCTGCTGCTGCTGCCATCATCTTGCTTCATCCTGATGGGCATTAACAAGTTTGATGTGGTGTTAGAGCCTCAGCAACAAGCTTACACCAGCGGGCAGGATGTGGTGGGCAGGGTCGTGATCAGGGCAGACAGTCTCACCTCATGTCGAGGTAAATACAACCTCCTTAAGACGCTATGTGTATCTATATACATTACGAGTAATTTAATGTCTGTTCTTGATGTAACTGGCCGGTGGTTAGTAACATTATTGACCTTAACAAAGATATATTAACAAGGTCACCCGTTATTTATGTTCCTGGCTATTATTACGTTCTTCAGGTTGCAGAATGGACCATCAAATATTATTTTACCAGCTTGTCATTAGCACTTCTGATTATTATATTAATAATAATAATAGAAACTTGCCGTACTTCAACAATAATGTATATTAGTAAAAAAGTGTTTGTATTATTTTCTTTTGTTTTCTGCTCTGCCATGAACAAAAATTTTGGCATGGGCATTAATAGCTTAAAATTCATTCTGAATTATCTTTTACAGAATTAATAACTGACATATCTCAGATAGTAAATATATTTGGAATTTGTTAAATTATGTATATGGCATCTTTCAGTTTTTTTTTTAAATCTGTGATGATTCCTGGTCTTTTCTTTGTCTCAAAAGAGATGATGTAAATTTTGTAAATTTCTTCAGTATGAAGTTAGTGTCTACTTTTTTGTGTGTTTCTTAGTAGCTCTTATTCTTAGCATTTCTTTATAATTAAGGTTTAGTTTAAGACCCCAATGGAAATAAGTCACTGTCTTTTTTATGTCATATGACCAGAATCTTCACTAAGACATGGATGGGGGTCACTGATGCCACTACAAAGATTGTCTGGTAGTCTTGGTAATCCAATATCTGTATGAAGAAGACACATATGTAACGGTGGCCTATGGCCTGGTAAGCAATGCTCTCGCTTCACACTCTGAGTGTCCGTGGTTTCGATCCTTGGCAAGAGTAGAAACATTGTGCATGTTTCCTTACACCTGTTGTCCCATTCACCTAACAAGTGGGTACCTGGGTGTTAGTCCACTGACGTGGGTACCTGGGTGTTAGTCCACTGACGTGGGTACCTGGGTGTTAGTCCACTGACGTGGGTCACATCCTGGGGTACAAGATTGAGGACCCCAATGGAAATATGCATGCACTGCCTTTCTTGGGTTATCCTGGGTGGCTAACCCTCCAAGGTTAAAAATCCAAACAAAATCTTATTTCTTATCTTAAATGATTGAATTGAAGCTCCTAGTCAATGAAAATCTAATAAACAGGTTCCCTATACATTGTATCTGCCTTCTTTATACATGTATATTTAATATGTACATTGTGTGATATAAATTCCAGCACCTCTTGATTGTTCCCATCATTCAGAAAGCTTACCTACTTCATTTCAGATGTCTTCTTCAGTGCCCTGATATGGTATCCTCTTTGATGATCTTAACATTAATATAGACTTTCTTATCTTCTTGACTGGCACTGATTTCCAAAGTCAGGTGTGATTCCCCTCTCATTTCCTGCCAATGCCTTCTCAACTCCTTCATTTCTTCTCCTCTTCCATCTGTTTCACTAATGTTGTGTGGTGCTGAATGACTCTTAAGAGTTTAGTGCTTTCCATATAAGAGCATAATTCTCTGAGTGGGTTGTCATATGAAACAGACCTGTTAATTGAAGGGTTTGTTTTCACATGCTTTGCAGTGCCTCAAAGCCTAGACAACAAAAATTGTATACAGTATAATAATAGATTGTCCTAGTTCTAGCCTAACATATGTTATTCTCTGTTTATGTAATTAACTGCAAGGACAACATATATCTGGCAGTGCAGGACATATCCTCACTGCTTAAATAATTGGTAACCCCCCACACACTCACTAAGCTGGGTAATCAACCCCCACACACTAGCTATCAACCACACGACTATGTGTTAATCAACCCCCACACACTCACTAAGCTGGTAATCAACCCCCACACACTCACTAAGCTGTTAATCAACCCCCACACACTCACTAAGCTGGGTAATCAACCCCCCACACACTCACTAAGCTGGGTAATCAACCCCCCACACACTCACTAAGCTGGGTAATCAACCCCCCACACACTCACTAAGCTGGGTAATCAACCCCCCACACACTCACTAAGCTGGGTATCAACCCCCCACACACTCACTAAGCTGGGTATCAACCCCCCACACACTCACTAAGCTGGGTAATCAACCCCCCACACACTCACTAAGCTGGGTAATCAACCCCCACACACTCACTAAGCTGGGTAATCAACCCCCACACACTCACTAAGCTGGGTAATCATTGTCATGTGGCATGAAGAGTCTCGGGAGAAATTTTCCAATTTCTCCTGATAAAAAAAAAAAAAAAAATCCTCTTTCTTCTCTTAACCATTTTACAGTTAAGACCCCTGATCTCAACCTTGCTCTCAGGGTCAAAGAGTTTAAAAAATATATATATTTTATTTTGTGAAATGATAGAGAATCATTTTCTGAAAGTAATGAAACCAAAAGTATGAAATTTGATGGAAAAGGTTCAGAATTACTCTCGCAAAGTTAGTGGCCTTGATGATATTTACGCATCAGTGATTTTTGCCCACTTTGCACCCTATTTTTGTCCGATTTCGTTGTTCTAGACAACCACACTCATAACTATTTTGCTAGTATTCCGTCTGTTGATTGAGTATAAGAAACCACTCATTCACTTATGTCATCTAACTAGTAAAGTGATCAGAAATTGGTAAGCTGGCCACTTTCACACAAAAAGTTGCCAATTTGAAAATAAGGTCCAGAATAAACAATGTATACATTCCTAGTACAAAAAAACATTTCCTTTGTTCCTTAGTCATGTCTCCAGGCCCCTATTATATTACACTTGCTTTCCATTTTTAATTTTTACTCCACAAAAAAATAAAAGATTTACTGTTATGTAGAATACTGCATTTATTGTTAATTGTATAAATAATGTCAGTGCATTCCTAAATGTGTATTAGACTGGTATGCTGGACTTGTGTTGGACAAGTGATGTCATTTGTGTACTCTGGAATATTGGCAAAAATCGAACATTTCTGCTACTTTGAGTCACTTTCAAGGTACTTTGTCTTAAAACCAATCAAAATCATCTCTATTTCTGTAATATCTATCTTCTATTCTATCAAATGAGACCAAGAATGCAGAGAATACAACTATAAAAACCGTATGAAAATGCACTGCAAGTCACTATTTTAAACAAAGAACACGGTCGCAGTTTTTTCTCATGCACTGCATGCTGCAGGATTTTTTTTTTTTATCTGGTGCACACTTACTGCATAGACCCATTCTCTCATATCTAGATGCAGATTTACTGCACACAGCTTATCTGAGTGGTGTTGTACTACAGGACCGACACTGGCTTCAGAGCTGTTATACTATAATGGGACCAAAACGGAAAGAGTTAATAGGAGAGCTTTATCTAGCATACCATATGAATATCATATGCTCAGCTTATCAAAAAATCATTTATATTTTTGAATAATAACAGTTTCCCAGATTGCAGTGGTATTGGTACAAGTGGTAGCTGCTATATACAGCATGTTTTGTCAAGCACTTAAATAATATATAAATGAAATATAGGTAAATCGATTAGTCATATAAGAACCTTGCTGGGGGAAGTGTGCACTGGTGAGTATCCTGTATATTTTCGTGTTTCAGGTTACTTCATGGACTTGTATATAGTAAAATCTATGAAAACTCTATGCAAATAGAAAGTGCCAAAAAAATATAGAAGACTTGATCAAAGAAAACATGTGTATTATATACAGTGGAACCTCAAAAATCGAACTTAATCCGTTCCAGGAGCTAGTTCTAAATTCGAAAAGTCTGAAATTTGAAGCAATATTTCCCATAAGAAATAATGGAAATACAATTAATCCGTTCCAGAAACCCAAAAATATTCACACAAAAAACACATTTTATAGAGATTAATTACAGTTTTACATACAACAAATACTATAGTTTTTAATTATGTATAGTAGTCCATATAAAATAACATTTTTACTTACCTCTATTGAAGATTGGTGATGGCATCTGGAAGATAAGGAGGAGGAGAGAGGGAGTTGGGGTTAGTGTTTGGAAGGAGAATCCCCCTCCATGAGGACTTCAGGTAAAGCCCTCTCTGGGGTTACTTCCCTTCTCTGTCTTTTAATGCCACTAGGACCAGGTTGAGAGTCACTGGACCTCTGTCTCACAAAATAATTGTCCACAGTCCTCGGTTTCTGGCGCCTCTTTAACATTTCCCTAAAATGGGACATGGTTCTATCACTGAACTTGTTGCAAAGATGGTTTGTTTCAGCTTGCTCAGGGTGGTACTTCTGCACAAACATTTGGACATCATTCCACTTGGCACAGATCTCCTTAATCTTTGAAGAAGGCACTTCATCCACTTCCTATATTAACACCTTTCGCAACATCAGCTTCCTTGATTTGTTCTTTCTTTGACAGGATAGAACCGATGGTCGACTTGTTTTTCCCATGCATCCTGGCAAGCTCAACAAGCCTCACACCACTCTCATACTTCTGTATTATTTCCTTCTTCACATCTATGGTGTTTCTCACTTTCTTTACCACTAGCAAGTTTCTTTGGGCCCATGGCAGCTTATTTCACAGTCCCACAAGCACTAAACACAACAAAATAATCGTAAAATGCATGAATGAGAGCGCAGGTTAGTGTTCACTCAAGCATAAACAAAGCTAGACTGCTCACAGCGCCTGCGCGGACAGAGCGGGCGGCAGACAGGTCCCGTACCCGGCAGTCCGAAAATAGGGGCGCGTTCGATAATAGGGACACAGTTTGTCCGAAAAAATGGTCCTATCTGCGAAACGTTCGATATGTGATACGTTCGATTTTTGAGGTTCCACTGTATATAGTACATTAATAAATGAATTCAAAACAAAAAAAAAAAAAAAACATTTTTCTTCATACTGCTTTAACATCTGAATATGCAGTACTACTAAGCTTTTTCCTAGGTAGTAGGTTGGTAGACAGCAACCACCCAGGGAGGTACTACCGTCCTGCCAAGTGAGTGTAAAACGAAAGCCTGTAATTGTTTTACATGATGGTAGGATTGCTGGTGTCCATTTTTCTGTCTCATGAACATGCAAGATTTCAGGTACGTCTTGCTACTTCTACTTACACTTAGGTCACACTACACATATATGTACAAGCATATATGTACACACCCCTCTGGGTTTTCTTCTATTTTGTTTCTAGTTCTTGTTCTTGTTTATTTCCTCTTATCTCCATGGGGAAGTGGAACAGAATTCTTCCTCCGTAAGCCATGCGTGTTGTAAGAGGCGACTAAAATGCCGGGAGCAAGGGGCTAGTAACCCCTTCTGCTGTATATATTACTAAATGTAAAAGGAGAAACTTTTGTTTTTCCTTTTGGGCCACCCCGCCTCGATGGGATACGGCCGGTGTGTTGAAAGAAAGAAAGAAAGACTAAGCTTTTTTTTTTTCTTTCCATATTTCACACATTTTATACCCGTGCATTCATGGGGATAAAAAAACAAGATGTTACATCAATAAAAATAGTGGAGCATCACAGATCAACCAGGCTGTGACGAATATGTGGAGCTGCGGGCCACCAGCAGCAACAGCCTGGTTGACTAGACTATTGCCAGACAAGCCTGGCCCATGGCTGGGCTCCAGGAGTAGACTCTCGAAATTCATCAAAGGTATATCAGGTGCAATGATTGGCAGGGTTTATAAGTAGTACTCTATCCCTGTCTTTTATCCCTTACATTTCTGCAATGCAATCTTGTCCTTGTATGTTTTTTTTTTTTTTTTTTTTTTTTTTTTTTTTTTTTTTTTTTTTTTTTTTTTTTTTTTTTTTTTTTCATGATACAGTAATTTTGTTTTCAGTTCCTGTCCTATCTTCAGCATCTTAATATGCACTGCTTGTGTTCTATTTTAAAAATCTTGAATATGTACAAATTACAGTACATATATAGACTTATTACTGTACATTACAGTACATAAAAATATATTTTAAACATGTTAATTTAGTTTTAAAATTATATTTTCAGCTATCTTGGTGAAGTCCAAAGGGTTCGCAAGAGTCGAGTGGGGAAATGAGTATCCCAAGAACAGTGAAGAGGTTTATTTTGAAAATATTGTGACTGTTTGGTCTGGCACCAGTAAGTATTGTTCACACAAAACATGTAAGAGGCAACATTAATAACGGCTTCATTCTTGATCTGCTTTATAAAGCATGTAGATTATTAATTAGCAAATTGTGATGTAGGTTTTGCAGTGACTTGCCATATAAATATACAGATTTAATAAGTAGTTTTTTGTAGCTTTGAAACCCATTGCAGTCTCATGTGACTTTGAGCAAATATAATTTAATGGTAAGTCTTACTATCTTTGCATGATAAATTTTCAAAAATATTTGTTTTTCAATATCTTACAACTGATCAGAATACTCCATAAAAGTTTTCTTACATACCATATTTAGATAAAACTTGTTTTTAAGTCAAATTGGACTGTACATCTTTTTTTTTTTTTTTCTTTAAGCTTGTTAGGGTAATAATTATTTTAACTTTACGTATAACTAGTAGCAATACAGTGGACCCCCGCATAACGATTACCTCCGAATGCGACCAATTATGTAAGTTATTGTTGTAATGCGTTTGTATGTGTAGTTGGGTCTGAAATGGACTATGTTCCAATTTGTCTTATGGGACGATTCGGTCGTTGGCACTGAATATTTGAGAAAAAATTGTTAACGGGTCCATGTTATGAAATTGTAGCAAATATTTTGGTAGTCAGTTTCACGTACAAGCAAATTTCATTTGTCATTTTCTTTTTAGATTAATTAAAAATATATGTATAGTAGTCTCATTTTTATCATATTTACTACAATAGCAAATTTTTAAATATGCTATGACTGTAAAATTAATTACTTCTGGCATTAAATTATAATTGTACATTGAATGCTTTTATAATTAACCTCCTGCTTATTTTACTTTTACATATACAATAGCATAAGAAAATTAGTTATAATTTGAGTATTTCAGTAAAACGTAATGCTGACAAGTCGACCCGTTGAACATTCCAGTGTTTCTTGCCATCATAATTCAGGGTAGGAACATTATTGTAATTTTTGTTATACTTGGAGCTACAGCTTGTGCTTTTCTCTACCCATTGTAATCTAGTCTATAGTACTAATTATCTGTTCTTCACATGCATGTCATTTTAAAGTGTACATCAAAAAGCTTGCTTCTATGTTTCTTCTCTTGTATTCCAATAGGGACCAACCTTGTATAAAAATTTAAGATGGGCTCTTGATACGCAAATAATTCATGCATAGAAAGGAGCTTACGACGATATTTCAGTCCAACTTGGACCATTTACAAAGTTAGTGTGACTTTGTAAATGGTCCAAGTCAGACCAAAATGTCTTGTAAGTTTCTCTTCCTTTGTGCAGGTTATTTGTGTGTTGTTCCAGTTACAGAACAAGGGCTTCTGATTTTAATGGCTTAATTTCCATATAGGCCTAGTTTATTGCACTGCAACAAGTTACATCTATCACAGTTATCTAGCCATGATATTTTAAGTATCGGGTTTACCAGACTTTTTCATACAAGCCTTTGAGTTTCTTTACATTTCATTTTTTTTTTTATCTGTATGAATAAGAAACATTTGAGCCTACTGAGATCTTTTAGTCCCCACCGATACCTTCATTTTTATTTAAATACTAAAGTGCAGGTAAGAAGTACAGTGCCTGCACTCTGAATGAGTGGTAGGGATGTTGCAGTTCAGATGGTTATCTGAACTGTGTCTGAACTGTGATGTCAGCACACTTCTGGCAACACAGCAGTTGAATGGATGGCATTGAGTTTGTTCACACATTTTAGGGTTACTCTTCCTTGGTGGGAGATGGTTGGCATGTTAAAAATTTTTGTTGTACCTTGCTAGCCATCTGCCTCCAAAGCAGGGTGACCCACAGAAAAAAAAAAAAACCACATTCCCCATCATGCATCCAGTCTCTGTTTTGCCAGAAATTGGCTGACATGACAATTCAGATTACCCTCCAACTGCAACATCTTCACCTCTCCTTTAGAGTACGTATATGGACTGTAATTCCTGCCTAAAGGTGTAAAGTCCAGCTAACTAGTTTCTCACCTCCCCCTTCCCCCAAATTCCTTCATAAATGTTATTTTGCTTACACAGCAACAGTACGTTAAATCATAAAAAAAACACGTTTCAATACTAACTCAAATTTGATGCACTAACACATGTTGCTGGCACTTGAAATCTCCATTACCCCCCTCCCTCCCCTTCTGGTATAATCCCTATGCCTCCTTACTTCGAACACTGATGTATACTCTGGTCATCTTATCTTGCTCCATACTTTCTAAATGCCCAAATCATTTCTACCCCTCCTCAGCCCTCATAATTATACATTTGGTAATCCCCACAGTCTTCTGATTGCTATTCTCTGAATTCTCTGCATAATATTCACACCACACATTCCCTTCAAACCTAACATCTCCACTGCCTCCAGCCTCCTCCTCACTGCAACATTTAAAGCCCATGTCTCACACCCATACAAGTCTTGGTACCCATTTTTCTCCTTAGATAAAGTTGTTTGTCTGCACAGGAGGCAATGACGAAGGTAACCAGTTTGTGAGGCCTCACTCTCGTTTATTCTATGGTCACTTCATCTTTTGTGGACCCATCTGCCATCAAGTCCACTCCCAGATATCTGAATACATTTACTTTCTCCATAATCCCTCCATCCAGCCTGATATTGAGTCTTCCATTATCTAGATATTTTTGTTACTCTTATCACCTTTCCCTTTCCTATGCTCATTTTTAATTTTGTCTTGCATACCATACCAAATTCATCCACCAACCATTACAACTTTTCTTCGGTATCTCTCCTCAACACCCTGGCATTCATGTCTTTGGCAGCCCCATCTATAAATGTTAAACAACTATGGTAAGATCACACATCCTTGTCTGAAGCCTACTATTACAAGAAGGTAATCATCATCTCTTCTGCATACCCTAACCTGAGTCTCACTATCCACATAACTCTGTACTGCCTTTGGTAACCTAGTACCTATTCCATACACATCTACCACGTTGTTCCCTGTCCACTCTATCTTAAGCCTTTTCTAAATCCATAAATGCAACAAAAAGTTCCATTCCTTTATCAAAGTATTGCTCATTTGTGTACATCACTGCAGGCAGATGGATAAACTTCTGCATATCACAGCTACTATGGATAGCTGCATATAGTATACTGTAGTCAGTAATAGCATATCTCATTCAGTCTATATCCTTCTCTCTGTAATTTTTATGGATTATGCTCCATTAAACTACCTACTTATTAATTCTCTGTAATGCACTGCAAGTTTTGGTAGGAAGGGATTTATTTCCATGATGCAAAAACAATACTCTACAGCAAGTGAGATTTTTGTAGCACTAATTGTTGTACTAGGTACTGTATATTTTTCTGCTTCTGCAGAAATCATGCCATTTATCATCAGGGATTGTGGTTGTATCTTTGGGTTTAAAAATAGTACAGTGGAACCTCGGTTTTTGTATGCCCTAGTTTATATGTAAAACTATAGTTATTCTCTATTTCCCATAAGAAATAATGTAAATCCAATTAATCCATTCCAGACACCCAAAAATAGTAACAAAAAATACATTTTATAGAGAACTATAGTTTTACATACAAACTAGGGCATATGAAAACCAAGGTTCCACTGTATTTCTTTAAATCACAAACTTATAAAATATATTGTGAAACAGTTTGTAGTTTAGCTGCTGATAAATGTGATGAAAATAACAAAACCTAAATGTTAATAATATTGCATTTTTTAATAACAGCAACTTAAAAAAGTTATCAAGAATTGCACAAATACTTACAACCATATGTTTGGTATTATATGATATATCTGTAAGAAGAAAATTGTCAAAGTGGGAAGTCTGAATGTGCATGGATGTTGTGTAAATGATAAGAATGAGATGATTGTGGATGTTATGAATGAGAAGAAGCTGGATGTCCTGGCTTTAAGTGAAACAAAGCTGAAGGGGGTGGGAGAGTTTCAGTGGAGAGGAATAAATGAGATTAGGTCAGGGGTTTCAAATAGAGTTAGAGCTAAAGGAGTAGCAATAATGTTGAAGGATAAGTTATGGCAGGAAAAGAGGGACTACAAATGTATTAATTCAAGGATTATGTGGAGTAAAATAAAGGTTGGATGTGAAAAGTGGGTTATAGTAAGCGTATATGCACCTGGAGAAGAGAGAAGTGTAGAGGAGAGAGAGAGAGATTTTGGGAAATGTTGAGTGAATGCGTGGGGAGTTTTGAACCAAGTGTGAGAGTAATGGTGGTTGGGGATTTCAATGCTAAAGTGGGTAAAAATGTTGTGGAGGGAGTAGTAGGTAAATTTGGGGTGCCAGGGGTAAATGAATATGGGGAGCCTTTAATTGAGCTATGTGTAGAAAGAGGTTTGGTAATAAGTAATACATATTTTATGAAGGAGAGGATAAATAAATATATAAGGTATGATATAGCACGCAATGTAAGTAGTTTGTTAGATTATGTATTGGTGGATGAAGGTTGATGGGTAGGCTCCAGGATGTACACATTTATAGAGGGGTATCTGATATATCGGATCATTGTTTAGATGTAGCTACAGTTAGAGTAAGAGGTAGATGGGAAAAGAGGAAAATGGTAACAACAAGCAAGAGGGAGGTGAAAGTGTATAAACTAAGGGAGGAGGAAGTTCGGGTGAGATATAAGCAACTATGGGCTGGTGCAAGTATGAATAGTGGGGGGGTTGAAGAGGGTTGGAATAGTTTTAAAAATGCAGTATTAGAATGTGGGGCAGAAGTTTGTGGTTATAGGAGAGTGGGTGCAGGAGGAATGAGGAGTGATTGGTGGAATGATGAAGTAAAGGGTGTGATAAAAGAGAAAAAGTTAGCTTATGAGAGGTTTTTACAAAGCAGAAGTGTTATAAGAAGAGTAGAGTATATGGAGAGTAAAAGAAAGGTGAAGAGAGTGGTGAGAGAGTGCAAAAGGAGAGCAGATGATTTTAATGAAAATAAGAAAAAAATTTGGAGTGAGTTAAACAAGTTAAGAAAGCCTAGAGAACGAATGGATTTGTCAGTTAAAAACAGAGTAGGGGAGTTAGTAGATGGGGAGATGGAGGTTTTGGGTAGATGGCGAGAATATTTTTAGGAACTTCTAAATGTCGACGAAGAAAGGGAAGCGGTAATTTCATGCACTGGCCAGGGAGGTATACCATCTTTTGGAGTGAAGAAGAATAGGATGTGAGAGTGGGGGAGGTGCGTGAGGCATTACGTAGAATGAAAGGGGGTAAAGCAGATGGAACTGATGGGATCATGACAGAAATATTAAAACCAGGGGGGGATATAGTGTTGGAGTGGTTGGTACTTTTGTTTAATAAATGTGTGAAAGAGGGGAAGGTACCTAGGGATTGGCAGAGAGCATGTATAGTCCCTTTATATAAAGGGAAAGGGGATAAAAGAGATTGTAAAAATTATAGAGGAATAAGTTCACTGAGTATACCAGGAAAAGTGTACGGTAGGGTTATAATTGAAAGAATTAGAGGTAAGACAGAACGTAGGATTGCGGATGAGCAAGGAGGTTTCAGAATGGGTAGGGGATGTGTAGATCAAGTGTTTACATTGAAGCATAAATGTGAACAGTATTTAGATAAAGGTAGGGAAGTTTTTATTGCATTTATGGATTTAGAAAAGGCATATGATAGAGTGGATAGGGGAGCAATGTGGCAGATGTTGCAAGTATATGAAATAGGTAGTAAGTTACTAAATGCTGTAAAGAATTTTTATTAGGATAGTGAGGCTCAGGTTAGGGTGTGTAGAAGAAGAGGGAGATTACTTCCCAGTAAAAGTAGGTCTTAGACAGGGATGTGTAATGTCACTATGGTTGTTTAATATATTTATAGATGGGGTTGTAAAAGAAGTAAATGCTAGGGTGTTCGGGAGAGGGGTGGGATTAAATTATGGGGAATCAAATACAGAATGGGAATTGACACAGTTACTTTTTGCTGATGATACTGTGCTCATGGGAGATTCTAAAGAAAAATTGCAAAGGTTAGTGGATGAGTTTCGGAGTGTGTGTAAAGGTAGAAAGTTGAAAGTGAACATAGAAAAGAGTAAGGTGATGAGGGTATCAAATGATTTAGATAAAGAAAAATTGGATATCAAATTGGGGAGGAGGAGTATGGAAGAAGTGAATGTTTTCAGATACTTGGGAGTTGACGTGTCGGCGGATGGATTTATGAAGGATGAGGTTAATCATAGAATTGATGAGGGAAAAAAGGTGAGTGGTGCGTTGAGTTATATTTGGAGACAAAAAAACGTTATCTATGGAGGCAAAGAAGGGAATGTACGAAAGTATAGTAGTACCAACACTTATATGGGTGTGAAGCTTGGGTTGTGAATGCAGCAGTGAGGAGGCAGTTGGAGGCAGTGGAGATGTCTTGTCTAAGGGCAATGTGTGGTGTAAATATTATGCAGAAAATTCGGAGTGTGGAAATTAGGAGAAGGTGTGGAGTTAATAAAAGCATTAGTCAGAGGGCTGAAGAGGGGTTGTTGAGGTGGTTTGGTCATTTAGAGAGAATGGATCAAAGTAGAATGACATGGAGAGCGTATAAATCTGTAGGGGAAGGAAGGTGGGGTAGGGGTTGTCCTCAAAAAGGTTGGAGGGAGGGGGTAAAGGAGGTTTTGTGGGCGATGGGCCTGGACTTCCAGCAAGCGTGCGTGAGCGTGTTCGATAGGAGTGAATGGAGACAAATGGTATTTGGGACCTGACGATCTGTTGGAGTGTGAGCAGGGTAATATTTAGTGAAGGGATTCAAGGAAACCGGTTATTTTTATATAGCTGGACTTGAGTCCTGGAAATGGGAAGTACAATGCCTGCACTCTAAAGGAGAGGTTCAGGATATTGGCAGTTTGGAAGGATATGTTGTGTATCTTTATAGGTATATGCTTCTAAGCTGTTGTGTTCTGAGCACCTCTGCAAAAACAGTGATTATGTGTGAGTGTGGTGAAAGTGTTGAATGATGAAAGTATTTTCTTTTTGAGGATTTTTTCTTTTTTTGGGTCACCCTGCCTCGGTGAGAGACGACCGACTTGTTAAAAAAAAAAAAATCTGTAATTCACTCCATATTTCACTCCTGTCAACTTTCGTAATGCATTTAGCCATATTTACTCGAGTTTCATAGACACTTCTGTTTTCCAGCATTTTAACTGTGAACTGCATAATTAAAGAATCTGGTTCACCTGTTACACACTGAGTTTGTTGGTCATGTGTAAAGATTTTATTGGTTATGTATAATTGTTGCACTTACCATACATTGATTTGCAATACTGTATGTTCTTATTGATTTTTTGTTATGTCTTGCATTGTCAACAACCTAACTTGCCATATTTACACTTACTTATTAACGTGCATTATTTAGGCTGTATGTAAACTATTGTTTCCAGATGTGAGTTTTTTGTATATAACAATTAGGCAAAATCAAGATTTAAATTTCCTGCTTGGTAGTGCAGTGACCAGTTATGCCAAGTTGCTGGGATTAGAGCTGAAATATAGAAGCTATCTTAAATCTGCTCAGAAACTAGTTCTCTGCACCTTAGTGAAGATTCAAAATATGAACCTCTTGGTTGGCAGTTTAATGTGATAAACTCTACACCACTGTACCTCATATAGCTTTAAACTTTGAAAACATTTTTGGAATGGCCTCCCATTCTCTCTTGATTTTCTCTGTGTGCCTTATGTGTACAGTTTTTTAGCTGTTTTATACCTCTTTGCAAATGCTTCCAGGAAGAATCACTTCAAATTCTCTACTTTCTTGTTGATCCAGGGATGGTTGGATGGCAGGGGTACAAGGAGCTTGAGCATCCAGCAGGCTTGTGTGAGCACGTTAGGTAGAAGTGCATGTAAACAAGTGGTTTGTAATGGACATGCTGTTGGAAAGTGAGCAGGGTAAAATTAATGAAGGTAGTCAGGGAAATCTGCGAGCTGGACTTGAGTCTTGGAGGTGAGAGGGGCAATTCCTGCACTCTGGAGGGGTGAGAATGTTGCAGCTGGATAATCTTCCTGTGATGTCAACACACTTCTGGAAAGAGCAATTGAGTGACTGTTGGTGAATGTGTCCTTCTTTGAACCACCCTGCCTTGGCCTCAGATAATTGAGTTAAAAAAAAATTGCAGTTTTTGAACAAATGCAGTAATGCTTTGTGTTTATTTCATACATGTATAACGAACTGGCCAGGGAGGTATACCATCTTCTAGGAGTGAAGAAGAAAAGGATGTGAGTGTGGGGGGGGTGCGTGAGGCATTACGTAGAATGAAAGGGGGTAAAGCAGCTGGAACTGACGGGATCATGACAGAAATGTTAAAAGCAGGGGGGATATAGTGTTGGAGTGGTTGGTATTTTTGTTTAATAAATGTATGAAAGAGGGGAAGGTACCTAGGGATTGGCAGAGAGCATGTATAGTCCCTTTATATAAAGGGAAGGGGGACAAAAGAGATTGTAAAAATTATAGAGGAATAAGTTTACTGAGTATACCAGGAAAAGTGTACGGTAGGGTTATAATTGAAAGAATTAGAGGTAAGACAGAATGTAGGATTGCGGATGAGCAAGGAGGTTTCAGAGTGGGTAAGGATGTGTAGTTTCAAGTGTTTACATTGAAGCATATAAGTGAACAGTATTTAGATAAAGGTAGGGAAGTTTTTATTGCATTTATGGATTTAGAAAAGGCATATGATAGAGTGGATAGGGGAGCAATGTGGCAGATGTTGCAAGTATATGGAGTAGGTGGTAAATTACTAAGTGCTGTAAAGAGTTTTTATGAGGATAGTGAGGCTCAGGTTAGGGTGTGTAGAAGAAGAGGGAGACTACTTCCCAGTAAAAGTAGGTCTTAGACAGGGATGTGTAATGTCACCATTACACATCGGTTTTCTGAACCATTTATCTACAAATATTAATTCGGTTTTCGACCATTTCGGTTATCGGCCGACCTTCTGGAACGGAATACGGCCGATAACCGAGGGTCCACTGTACGTACTTCATTTTTTCACTGTAATGTACAGCCTCTCCTCACTTAACGACAGAATTCCATTCTTAGACCACGTCAATAAACGAATTTGTCACTAAATGAAGAGCATACTAATGGTAGTGGGTTTGTGTCAGTCATCTCTGATATTGTTTTAATGTCACCTTTGCACCATTGATAATGCTTCTGGTTTATTTTTAATTGTTTATACAGTAGTGTACGTACTGTATATTGTGATAATAAGTATAGAGGAAATCAGCTCTAATGTACATTATTTAGGTATGCATACTGGTCAGAGAGCTCGTCGTAAGTCAGAGTTGTCGGTAAATGAGTATGTCACTGAGTAGAGGCTGTATTATTATTCTGGTGACCCCCCTATAGATAATAGTTACTGTTACAGTTTTCAGAAAGATTTTATCTTGATTCCTTAAGAGACTATTGGTAGGCAATGGCTAGAAAAGTTTAGTGTTTATTTGCATCTCATTCTTTTGTAGGAACTGTTTTTTCTCTTCCTTGTTGTGGGTGCAGTATCCTGATGCATTTTTTCTCAACAGGTCATGGCGAAAACCTCCCAGCGGGAGAATATTGTTTTCCATTTCAGTTCAAGTTGCCCCCAAAAATACCCAGAAGCTTTGAAGGAACATACGGTCACATTCGTTATGTAATTGAAGCCAAGGCAGAAATTCCTTGGGGAACGGATCAGCTTTCCAGTGTCTTTTTCAATGTCGAGTGTAAATATGATCTGAACGAAATTGAAAAATCTTCTGTAAGTTTGTCTCTATTTATATCTGATTGTTAACCTTCATAATTTTGAGTGGGGAACCACTCAATTATGAAACACAGATGAAAGAGATCCAGCTATTTCAGTCTCAGAGACTTTTAATCAGTTGGTCTAACCAAGGCCAAAATATACATATTCTTTCTTATCTGTGTTTCAGAATTCTATCCTTGTTTTTCAGTTTACCTTGATCATTCTTAATGATATTTTAATCAAAATATTTTTTTTTTAACATGTTGGCTGTCTTCCGCCAAGACAAAGTGACCCAAAAAGAAACACTCATCTTTCACACTTAATAACTGTCTTTGCAGAGGCACCCAGATATGATGGTTCAGATATCATTCCAAACAGCCAGTATCCCCAACCCCTCCTTTTTACTTCCCGCCTCCAGGACTTGGGTCCGGCTAACCAGTTTCCTGAATCCCTTCACAAAATATTATCCTGTTCACACTCCAACAGCTTGTCAAGCTCCAAAAATCATTCATCTCCATTCACTCCTATCTAACATGCTCACATATGCCTACTGTATGTCCAAGACCCTTGCAAACAGAACCTCTTTCACCCCCTCCCTTCATCCTTTTCCAGGATGACCCCTACCCCTCCTCCCCTCCACTACAGATTTATACATTCTCCAAGTCTTCCTATTTTGCTCTATCCTCTCTAAATGACCAAACCATTTCAACAACCCCTTCTCAACCCTCTGAATAATACTTTTAGTAGCTTCACACCTTATTTCTACACTATGAATTCTCTCCATAATATTTATACCACACGTTGCCCTCACTGTAACATTTACAACCCATGCTTCACATCCATGTAAGAGTGGTGATACCACTATACTCTCACACATTCCCTTCTGTGCCTCCATGGATAATATTATCTGTCTCCACAGATATCTCAATGCACCAACCACCTTTTTGCCTCCATCAGTTCAGTGGTTTTACTTTGTTCATTATAAAAATATCTGAACACATTCACTTCTTCCATACTCCCTCTCTTCAATGTGATATCCAAGTTTTCTTCCCAAATATTTGCTGCCCTCACCCCTTACTCTTACTATTTTTTATTTTAAACTTTTTTCCCTTTACACACCCTCCTAAATCATCCCCCAAACTTTTGCAGCTTCTCTTTAAAATCCCCAAAAAGGAAAAGTATCATCATCAAAAAATAACTGTGTCAACCCCATTTTGTGTTTGATTCCCCATTATTTAACCCCACCCTTTTTCCCAAACTAACATTTTTTTTTTTCAACCCTTTTTAAATGGTTGATAACCAGGGTACATTACATATCCCGTCTAAGGCCTACTTTTATGAAATAAATCTCCCCAATGTAAACACGGGGTCTAACATCCCCTCCCCATTCTAAAGCCCCCTTGTTCACGGGACCCTGCTCTCTGTTTTTCATCTAATTCTTTCAATAATCCCTACCACACTTTCCTGTATACTCTGTAAACTTGTTCCCTATAATTTTTACATTCTCTTTTGTCCTCCTTCCCTTTATATTAAGGGACTATACACACACACACATGCCAGTCCCTAGGTACCCCCCCCTTTTTTTTTTTACTTTTATTGAAAAAAAGTACCAACAACTCCAAAACTATACCCCCCACCTGCTTTTAAAAACATTTCTGTCATGACCCCATCAGTTAATTGTTTTACCCCCTTTAATTTACGCATGTCTCGTGCTTCCCCCCATTGCATCCGGCTTTTGTCATCCTAAAAGTTTTTACCCCCCTCCCAATGCATGAAAATTATGCCTCCCCTCTTTTTATCAAATTTTAAAAGTTCCCCAAAAAATATTTTGGCCCTTTTCCCATTTCCTCCCTCTCCCCTTCTAACTTCCTTGTTTTTTTTAACTGTCAGATCCTTTGCTCCAAGGTTTCGTAACCCGTTTATTTTTATTTTTTTTTTATTATCACATGGCCCATTCCCCCCCAAGGGGGGTGGCCCAAAAAAAAAAAAACTTTCACCATCATTCACTCCCTCACTGTCTTGCCAGAAGGGTGCTTTACAAAAATTTTTTTAAACCCAACTTTAAAACCCCCCCTTCAATCAGGCCGTCCCCCCCCCCCAAACCCCCGGGCCCGGTTTCCCCAATTATTGTATTTGCCCAAACCCAAAGCCTTTTAAGATTTTTAAAAAACCCTTTGTTAAAATTCACCCTTTTTTTAAAAGCTCCGCTTGCCCCTGAATCCCAAGCCCCCCCACAAAAAACAAAACTCCTTTACCCTCCTCCAAACCTTTCCAGGCCGCCCCTCCCCCCCCTTCCTTTTACAAAGACGTACACTCTTGAAGTCTTCTGTTTCGCTCATTCTCTTACAGTCCGCCCACTAAACACCCCCCTCAGCCCTCGGGACAAAAGTTTGGTACCCGCACCCCTCCTTAACTTCCAAAATCAAATTTCCCCTGCATTATAATTACCCCAAAACATTGTTTGGGGGGACTTTGCATTTTTAAAGGGTTTGGGGAAATTTCTGTTTAGACTCCTTTTTGGGGCTTAATATTGGAACTTCTTCCAATTCTTGGGACGACCTACTTAACTTTGAACAAATGTGACACGACCTATGATGCTGCCCTCTCCTGCCATAGGGTTTAAACTCTTCCCCCGCTGATATGCCGTATTCTTTTCAAGATGGACTAACACATCGCTAAAGGGTTGAGGGATGATTACCTCATTCTCCCTGTTCTTCAAGTTTCCCCTCGTATGGTGATAAAACCACTGTGGGAAAAAACTTTCCTCAAAAAAGATACCAAGGTTGCACTGTGTCAAATTTTATAAACTGCGGTTCTCTAAAACCATTCATCACAATCGTCAGACACTGAAACTTCTTGGGTCTTAAATATTTGGAATTCTTCGCTTCCCAATTTTTTGGGACGACTACTTCAACTTGAACAAATGTCAGGACCTTGACTGCTGCACCCCCCCTCCAAGGTTTAAAACTGTTCTCCGCTGAATGCCGTATTTATTGAAGATGAGGGGACGAACACATCGCCCAAAGTTGAGGGATGATTACCTCTTCTCCCCCTGTTCTTCAAGTTTCTCCTACGTATGGACTGATGAAGCCACTGTGTGGCGAAACGTTTCCTCAATAAAGATACCCAAGAGTTGCACATGTGTCTAATTTATCATATTTGCAGGTTAAGGATTCCTAACTTTATTGGCAAGCTAAGAGCTGTTACCTACATCAGCTCATTTGAAAGCATTTTTATTGTTATGAGATATGCAAGTAGGAAACAGGATGAAGTTGGAGCCATCTGTGGGCCAGCATTTTCATTTGATCAACTGACTTTATCTTATTGACATCATTATGCTGTATGAATGTGTTCCATACTCGAGTCATCCTGGGTATATATGATCTCAGATGGAGTGATGTTCTGGAGAAGGGTACAGCCAGAGTGAAGTTGCTGCTTTCTGCCCGTCTTGTGGAATAAAAGCTTGTTTCACGCTGTCCTCGAAGTGGATCCAAGTGTGGTACTTTGACAATATTGGCCTTGTACATAACAGTAAGGCCACCCACATCCCTCCTATGTTGAAGGCTCTGCTGAAATGACAGATCTATCCAAGATGGGTCCAGGCGAGAGATGAGACGTCTTGCTCTGTTCTCTACTCTGTCAAGCAGTCACAGATGAGAGGGGGTGGGCAGGCAAACCAAGAAAGTGGAGCATACTCGAGGTGTGAGCGTACTTGTGCCTCGTACAGAATCTTGCAACCCCTACTGTCAAGTAGATGCGAGATACGGCGATGCTGTAAGCTTCCTGGCTGCCTTGTTTGCAAGATTTACAACATGGTTCTTCATGGTTAGTTTGGAGTCAAATTTCACCCCAAGGATATCAACTTCTTCTCCAGGTGCCAACACCCTCCCATTCATCCTTACTACTGCACCAGCATTACCATCATGGTGTCTAGAGACGATCATCATTTGTGTTTTCTCAGGTGCAAATGTTACTTGCCATCTATTTCCCCAAGCTGATATAGCTCTCAGCTGGTGATTGATGTAGCTTAGAGCAGCTGGCATTTCTTCTCTTGGATAAGTGAATGTCAGTGTACAGTCATCTGCACATGCATGTGATTCTGGGATGAGATGAAGAAGGTCGTTGAAGTAGACATTCCATAACAATGGTCCCAGCACGCTTCCTTGTGGAACACTTGCCCAATAGGATGGCTTGCTGATTCCATTCCATTGAGAATTACACTTATAGATCTACCATGAAGGTAATCACTGAGGAGACATAGCATAGAACCTGCAATTCCCCAGTGCTTGAAGTTTTGCTAAGAGGCCCTGGTGCCACACCCATCGAAAGCGCCAGCTATGTCCAGTGCTACCACACAGCTGACTTTGGATTCATCCAGTGACTGGTGCCACTTAGTGGAGAGGTTTAACAACAGGACACTCTCTCTGTCTCTCTGTCTCTCTCTCCATCTCTCTCTCTCTGTCTCTCTCTCTCTCTCTGTCTCTCTCTCTCTCTCTGTCTATCTCTCTTTTCTTTTGTCTTTTCTCCTCTCTCTGTCTCTCTCTCTCTCTCTCTCTGTCCCCCTCTCTCTCGTCTCTCTCTCTGTCTCTCTCTCTCTCTCTCTGTTGTCTCTCTCTCTCTCTCTGTCTCTCCTCTCTCTCTGTCTCTCTCTCTGTCTCTCGGGCCCTCTCTGTCTCTGTCTCTCTCTGTCTCTCTCTGTCTCTCTCTGTCTCTCTTTTGTCTCTCTCTGCCCTCTCTGTCTCTCTGCTCTATCTCTCCCCTCTCTCTCTCTCTCTCTCTCTCTCTCTCTCTTTTATTCTTTTTTTACACAGGGTTTGACAAGGTTAAGGGTCCCCACTTTATTGACAAGCTATTTACAGGTTAAGGATTCCTAACTTTATTGGCAACATAAGAACATAAGAAAGGAGGAACACTGCAGGAGGCCTGCTGGCCCATACTAGGCAGGGCCTTTACAATTCATCCCACTAACAAAACATTTGCCCAAAACCCAATTTTCAATGCCCCCCAAGAAATAA